TTTTTATTTTAACTATTACTATGTAAGCATGACACATAATTTTATTTTATTGTTTCTATTGTATTTGCTTGTAGCGGATCTTCTAAAAGTGATCAATATTAATATGTAACATTTATTGTTGTATGATCCTTAAGCACACTCAGTTCTGTGGAGTTCACATACTGCTTTCAAATAAATATACAATATTTGCATCTATCTATGAATAAATAAATTAGATCACCATCTAAGTTTCACTCTGGTGACAAATTTACAGTCTTCACTCAGTATTTAATCTTAATTTTGAGGTTTAAATGTTAATTATATACTCCCCTCCTTGCTTATACCCACCCACCCCCATGAAATAATTGATTATACCTAAGACCCTGTTGGTGACACCTGCCACATCCTGCAGTTTGTCAGGTTTCATGTTTCTTGCTTCTCAGGATGTTCAGAAGATTACTCTCATCAAATTATCCACAGTTATATAAGATCCATTCCCACTCTGTAGATATAGATAGATTTTTATTTGACACAAAATTTAGTATGAATGAAAAAAAAGATAAATCACAGGTCAAAAAATCAAGCAAAAAATAGACTAAACTAAAGTGTAGAAATAAAATAAATAAATTTTCCCAAGCAGTTAATAATGAAGCTATCTTTAGTGTCTAGCAAGCACTTGAATCTTAAGAGTTGGTAACTTACAAATATTGTCATAAATTGCTAATTTGTATTCACAATAGAAAGCATCACACTTACCCCTGTAAACATAATAAGGCCTTTGAATTTTGTACAGTTCATGAGAAGTCTTATCAAACAGAATCCTGAAAATAAATTTAGAAGCCACCCCTAAATTTAAGGTGACTATAAGTGACTACAACAGTCGGAGGTTTGTTTGATTTGGTGATCGGACACCACAACCTAATATGCTTCAATATTTTAAGATTTGTTGGGAAACCAGCTAATTTTTATCATTTTTCATTAAGATCAAAATAATATGTGGGAGTTATTCTGCATATAATACGAGGTGGAAATAATAACTTGCTAGTAAAAGCTAGAAATTGTGACATATTGTCATTATTTTCTAATTTAAATTGGTTACCATAGTGATATTAGTTGATTATATGATAAGATTTCCCATGTACTTATATTCTTAGAATAATGTTACTGGAGCAAAAAAGTCAAGTAGAACCTATCCCAAAACATCTAATACATCTAGCCCTTAGGGCAAATGCAGCAAAAAGAACATATATTACTGTGTACATGCATAATTGAGGTCATTGCCGAGATATCTTGTATATTACTGTCATAATGTCAATAAGGAATTTTTAGAAGATTTAGCCTTGAAATTGGAAAACCATAGAATCGTAATTAAAATTCAAACCTAGGTGATAATAACAGAATGGTGTAGTCTCATCAATAGAACCCTTCTCCCCTCTCGTAATATAATGGTTGAACCCAATACATGTTGATATAAGTATTGCAAAGTCCAGTCATGGTGAATCATGTACAATACCTAACCTCAGTTGTCCACTGATATATAGTAATTATAAATTAATTACGTTTCATTCTGACAGTATGATGATTCATCATGGTTTACTTGTGACAAGTGATAGGATAAAGAGCTGCTAGCTGAGATCAAGGAGACAGGCTTGTTGACTGAGTGTTTTATATTGCAACATTACATTGACAGATAAGGTAAGTAGATCTAGATGCAATATATTTTAATTGTCTAAATCATTCATTTCCATCCAAGCTTCCCCTCACTTCTTAAAGGGCAGTGGTTGTCGCACTGCGTCACGTTTTGTATAGAAATCATAGTGATGTACAATACAGGTGTAATATACAAATGTTTGTTTACATGAATTTCAAACATGTGCTGCATGATGACAGTTGCCCTTTAATGAGTTTGTTTACGTATTTGTAGACCGGGTATTTTGAGAAACAAAATATTGTTGTAATAATGTGAACAGACAAAAACTGTTTGTATTGCATCTAATGAATGTTTAAACAAAGGGGTACATGGCTAATTTGTTTTCTACTCCCTTGTTTTCACATTATTTTTGTTTTGTTTTTTGTTATTGGACATTGCTCAAGGATTCTTTGGTATGTTCCAAATCAAAATCTATAGTATATCTTAATCTTATAAACAAAGTGGTGGGTTGTGGAACCCCCCTGTTTTCAAATGAGTAACCCCCAATGATTCAAACTTCTCTGTATGTATGGTGATCTAATGAGTATATAAACAAAGATAGGGGTGGCTATTGTTTCTTGTGGGACCCCCTCCCTCTTTTTTTTTAGTGGCTAACCCGTAACTGCAATGATTCAAACTTCTCTGTATGTGTGGTTGGCATTGATGTTTTATTTCAAAACATTATTTCAGTGTAAATGCTACTGATTTTGTGCTGTGATTTTGTAGCCATTATGTTAGTGTTAGTGACACTGACTACCACCACCACCCCCACCCTTTAATAGGGACTAACACATTCAGTTGACACATCTATAATTAATCATCAAATCTAGAAGACACCAAAAACTAAAAATAGAAATTGAAGATAGAAAATGTGCAAAATGTAATATTACTGAAGATGAGCTACACTTTTTCACATCATGTAGTCTTTATACTGAGGCCAGAGTAAGATTACACACAAAGTTCTCAGAATCAATTGAAAACTTTGTTCAAGCAAATAACACAGAAAACAGACTGCTGAGAACAGACCATTGATAAAAGAATTAATTAAATACATAAAAAAACATCATATACGACAAGAAAACAATATTATCAATGTTAAACAAAAACTCATGGAAATGTAATATTTTAATTTTTATCAACAAGTACCAGTAATATTTCTTTACTGTATCTTTATGATAAGTATAGTTTTAGTTTTTTAGAATAGTTTGTTATACCTTTATTACATTTGTATTCATCCAAATTGAATTTCTTTCAATATGGTTGTAATAAAGAATTATCTTATCTTATCTTATATACACACAAACTTATACACAAGTGTAGAACACTTATGAAAAGGTGAGAAATAACAGAATAACTGCATGTCAGTATAAGAACACCTATATAACACAAAGGAAATCTTGAATCCACTTAAATGATTAATGCAAGACCATGACCTGATAAACTGAGATAAGGATCAAATGTTATTTTAAGATTTAATAATTAATTGTCCTGGAAAACTAATCCTCTGTATACATATAATATGCATAATTACAGGGATATACAGTGTGAGAATCTAATCAACTTGTGTGGTAGAAATAAATACCAATGTGTGTAACCCTAGTACTTTATTTAAATAATACTTTGTCTTAAGGAGGTAAAACTGATCATGTTTTTTGGCAATGTGTGCATGATTTAACACACTTGGATGTGATATTATAATATTATAATTAAATGTTTTGGTATTTCCAACATTGTGTTACAGGTACTGTAGTTTTTGTTGAGAAAAAATATGAAATTGATGTAAGCATTGATAACTAATCAGATTGCACAAATCATTTTGCCATTAAAATCTAGAAAAATTATATAAAAAAAAATACTGATAATTGGCATTAAGTAGTGTAATTTTCCCTGCCAAAAATATAGTACAACATTTTGTGTATTTTTCTATAATTTCATTCCGTATTTTCCTCCAATTGGACATTGTTGATATTTCTATGAAGGTCATGATCAAACATTTTAGAGAAATATGGAAACAATTCTGCTGGTTTAAACAGCTGATGTTAGTTTTCTGATTGTTTAGAGAATAGGATTATTATTAATAATATAAATTATGTAAGCAACCTTTTAAATTTTCTCACTTTTTTCACAAAATAAGACATGCCAAATTTGTTTTCAGACTTGAAGAAAGATTTTATCACCCCATGTGAAATTATGTCAATTTTGTCCAAAAATATCCAAAATATTATAAAAAAGATATAAAAATAAGCAAAATGTTTGAACATAATTTTAGCAGGAAAAATGTTATTGGTAAAACTTGTTTTTACTCTATATTGTACAATGAGTTTCTTAGTTTCCTAAATCCTTTGTGTGATCCTTCATGGAAGTATGAGAAAAATCAAATTTGTTGTTTTCCATTGGTATCACCCACCTTAATGTGATTCTGATCCTTGCAACTGAATCTGATGGTCATTACTAGTACATAGTTTGATATGTATCACTTGCAGACCACCATGTAAACCTATTACAATTTCATCACCGGATTTGTTATTATCATTTATTTCTCTCTAATATAAATATTGAACTTTCCCAGTGACTGTAATGATTCTCAAATGTATGTTTATGAGGTAATTGTTGACTGAAGCAAGTAGCTCGATAAATGTTTCTATAAATGTTTTATAAACTTTAGTATTTGTGGCATACGTACCACAATTTTTCAATTAAAAGCACATCTCTGATATAATATCAATTGCATCAATTGCATTTATTGTAATAATAATAATAATTTCAAAGTGGGATCTTAGTTGAAAATACAAATAAAGTAATACAAAAAGATAGCAAATAAAAAAGACACAAGACATTCACAGACATTTGAATAAAGAAAATAAGAGGGGAAAAAAAAAATTATTTGGTGTTTGAGGCATCTGGCTATTTAGGATTTACTATTATTATGACAATCATAAGTACCTTAGTAGTTTACGTATAAAAGTGCATGTGCTTCTTGTGAAGAAAATATTGTTATTGTAATAATTTAGAATTAACCTTTTTTTTTCTTTTTCTCATCAGGAAGAAACTGATTGAACCAAACTGGGTAACACTGTGTCAGGTCCGTGGGGGTGTCCATCTATAAGTTACTGTTGCCACTCTAATAGATGTGGTGAAGGCCATGACAGGCACTGTCTTCTAAAGGAATATTCATATCCAGCTGCTATGAGTGCCTCTAACCCATCACAAAACGATGGCTGTCTGGAGGAGCCAAGGGGATACTACTGCTCAATATGTTACCATGGCTACAAGAGAGACGGGCAGTATGTCCCAAGAAATCTCAACTGTGGACACACTTTTTGTACCGGTACTGTTATCCGTTTTTTTTTTTTTTGCTAAACATTTTCATTAAAATATCTTAAAGGTAATCACAAAGAAAGATTTGTTTATTAAAGTATGATGTTTGTTAAGACGATAAGTGTTTCAATGTGTTTGAATTTGTTTGTAAATATATGGTACACTGCATACCACATGTGTATACATAGAGATGAGATCCAATATTGAACTTGGCTTATCACGTAAGCCTTGACCGCTTAATACGTCAACCAATAATCACAGAACTGAAGTATCTCTGAGTTCTAAATACAATATTAAAGCAAAAAATTTAAAAATAAATAATGTCTATAAATAATTGAAATGAATAAGTTGCTATATGCTAAAGTATGATCATTTGTTTACTATCAAGTAGTGTGTCATAACACCATGACTAATTTGTCTTGTCTCATCTTTGTTTCCATTTATCCTAGAATGTCTCAAGAAACTGAGTGTAGTTCAGCGGGCTGGTATTATCACATGTCCAACATGTAAGGCTGCAACTGTTCTAGGTTTTGCTAATGATACCAGGAAGCTACCTAAGAACTATGCATTGTTGGAAATCTTGGAAGGATTAGAGGAAGCTGCAGTATCTGCCGGCAAAGGAGCAAGTCTAGTCCCTCCTCCATCATCTCAGGCATCCGAGGATGAGGAAACATCATTACAAAATAATCCTGTAAGTATGATAGTGATCACTGAGCTCTGTGTATACTTTGATACTACTGCTTTATCATTTACATTTTACATTTACAACTCTAGATTAATTTGTTCTGTTATAAAAAGTACTAATATTTGCAAGATATTTTGTTACTGGCCATTCTATTGATCAATAGCAATATATATAGACTGATTAAAAAATGCCAATATAATAGTCAATAAAAGTTTTTAAAAATGTCCAATCCAGGAGAGAAAAAGTAATGCTACCATCAACGTGTAGACTAATTTTCGATATTAGCAAAAAAGTGAAATTTCCAAATTAATCAGAATCTGAATATTAAATGTGAAAAAGGTTCAATGTTTATTTTATTATTTGGTTGAGGGCGCTCTTCATACTAGATTATGTACCACTACAGGGGGGGGGGTTTGCAATCTGATTAAAATAAGATTTTAACTTCGGATTTATTTATTTTTTCAAATATTTATATTTATAATACACTTTCTTTTACTTTATTTTATTTAAGTTTCTTGTTTATTTGCTTGTTTACACTGTTGTTACTGCATGGTTTAGCAGACCTAGAGGTTAATTGGATACATCATTTTTGCTGTTCAATTTAGATGGTTGAGGATGCTCTTCATACAATATTATGAAATTCAGTCAGAACCCATGTCTGTAAACAAAATACACACTTTTACATAGTAAAAAGAGAAATAAATAGACAGCACTAGGAAGATTTTTTTTAAAGAAAACTCTCATTAGTTCTACACACACACACATCCATGGTGTGAAAACATTGATAGGTGTAATAATTTAAATAAATACCAGGTTCACCTTCAGTTTAGCACCACTATCTCATTAATTTTATTACAGGAATTATTTTGCCAGAGTCATGAAAAAGAACCCAAGAAAGTATACTGTATCACTGATAAACAAAAAATCTGTATTTATTGTCAAGTATATGGTAGTCACCAAGGACACGAATGTCAGCTACTGTCAGTAGTAGCTGATGAAAAACGAAAGGTAGATCCTATCAACCTTCATTATAGTTCATTTCATTAAAAGTATTTATGCCCTCTATGGCAGAAATGGCAAATCTGTCTTTATAGTTAAATTAGTGAACATCATATGTTTCATGTCAAATTTGAAACATGAACATTTTCCACATTTTTATCACTGTCATGAATGTATTTTCCACTTGGCTACAGATGTTGATCAAAATTTATTGAAAAAGTTGTTTATCATGTAAAATGTGACCCAAGTTGATTTGTAATATATCGAGGTCACTGGAATTTTCTATTGAAATCAGTTGATGAGGATAAGTTGTCATTACTCTTTTCCACAAACAATATACAAATTTTATTTGTTAACACTTTACTCCAAATACTTAAAACATGTTTTCCTTTTCAGAATGTGTCCAGTTTAGCTGAAACACTGTCTAAGCAACATGATCGCTTCTGTGAAAAAAGAAAACAGTTATCCAATGCCGGCTATGCTATTAGATTCCGAGAAGAAAAACTAATGAGAGAGGTCACTCGTCACTTTGAGATGCTGAGAAAAAAATTATATAGACGAGAACTGCATTTGAAGTCTTTGATAAAAAACAAAACTAATGGTAAAATGGAAGTACTTGAAGGAAAGAGAAAGTAAGTCTTATCATTCTAGATCTTTTTGTCATCTTTCTCAGAATAAAGCACCATAAATTTCCACATTTGTATACAAATTTTGATTTACCCCTGCAGCAAAAATAACATGTCCATTTGATCTGAAATTAACAACAAAAATATAGAAAATAATAAAATACATATAAATGTGCAATATGTTGCAGCAACGTTTTTTCGACAAAATGATTGAATTAAAATTTGGTTAATATTCATAGTGGATCATGATTTTTCACCACATTTTCCAAAAAGTGTATCAGATTACTGTAGGATATCTAAACCTTGCTTCTCTCAGAAAGGAATCACTCGTAAATGGGACTCAATCTATTGGTCAATAAATATATTTATTATTATTTTTTTAGAATAGCGCAATGATATTTTCTTTCTAATTAACTGATTACCTTTCTTTTATACCAGAAAATGTTCTGAGTTTATTGTTACAATAGAGGCTGCACGTTCATCATGTCAAAGTGTACAGAGTTTATCAGACCATGAAGTATTGGAGGTCAAGGAAGTATTGCAGGTAACGATTCTTCATGTCAATTACCAGATTCAATTATTTACTTAGCGGCCAATTATTTGAAATCATGGAGACTGGCTGGAAAATTTAAAAAACAATTGCAAGCTTGACACTGAGAGAAACAAGAATTGCATGCAAGGTGTTGCAGAAAAAATAGTTGGCACATTCAACTAATATTAAATTATACAGACATGACACCACAAAGAAAATGCACTGGTCGCCCAATCCCCCCCCCCCCACACACACACACACACACCCCAATGGTCTCATATAATTGACACCTAATGTCAAAAATATGAACGTTAAAATAACAGACCCAGCACGTTTAGTAATATGAACCCAGTCATGTAAGAACTGCATAAAGTTTGATCATGAACTAAGTCAGAGAATGTCAAAGTCTGAAATATGACTCCAGAAAAATGTTGATCATTAAAATATGGTGCCTGCCAGAATGTATGCACACATGCATGCATGTAGTGATGGACAGATGGTCAGACATACATACATGTGGAGATCAAACCATAAGTTACCATTCTTGGATTGTAATGCTTCTGAATCAATACTTGTGAATGTATATATTTCATCAGGAGAAAGTAAGGAAACTAACAGATGATGCCAATAGCTACAGTGTGCAAGCCACTGTTGAAGATGATCTGTTTTGTCAGTTAGACTTGACCTTGTCAGATACTATTATGCAGTATGGTGTGGTGGGAGAAGACTCTGGTTAGTAATCTTGGTAGTTAATTGTTAATTTTACTGTATTTATACAAGCAAAAAGTACTACCTTAATGTAATGTCTGTGCTAACCAATTTGATCAAATGATCTATCATGTTATGCAGTCGTGTGTACCCAATGTTTGATTGGTTTTTTGAAATGACTTGAAATGATCCAAATACAAATATTTTTTAATTGGCTTTCTGATTAGTGTGCCCTCTATGGTTAAATACAAATAAGCCTTTGTCTTCCATTTGCTTCCAGAATAGTGTGCCCTCGGTGGTTAAATACAAATAAGCCTTTGTCTTCCGTTGGCTTTCTGAAGAGTGTGCCCCCTATGGTTAAATACAAATAACCATTTGTTTTCAATTTGCTTCCTGAGTAGTATTCTCTCTCGTTAAATGCAAATAATCTTTTCTCTTCAATTCGCTTTCTTAGTAGTGTGCCCTCTGTAGTCAAATATGAATAATTCATTTGTTTATGCAGCTTTCCATTACAGACAGCAATTAACCTGTCATATCATTGTTTCAACTAGGAAAGGCTGCTGCCCTGTATAATGGTAGTAGTAGTAGTGGAGACAGTACAGAGGGAGCTAGTGGTGGTAGCAGTACTAGTAGTAGTTCAACTCCAGAAACTAGCAGTACAGAAGAAAGTAACCATGATGTGAACAGATATCAACTCCCAACAAGAACAAACAAATCTGTC